GGATAGTAGTTCATAGCCATATGTTGTCCATGCCCACCTAATTTCTTATCAATATAGTCTCTTTCCAAACCCAAGCTCTCGGATATGGCCTCAAGCAGTCTCAACACTAGACCTCTAACGCTTGTGCAATATTCAGCCACATCTTTCCTGTTCGAATGGGATAATAATAATAATAAAAAAAAGAAGTATATTTCCCACTTTTAGGTTTTGAAAATTATAAATTGGCGTCTTGATCAAATTAAGTTTACTAATAATAAATTCTAAATTAGCCCTTTTCAATGCATTTTAGTTTTATCTGTAATACATGAGATTGAAAAACAAATTAGAACTTTAGAAAAATTAGAAGAACTATTATATTGTCATAAAAAAAAACCACAAGGGGGCTAATTTACAAAAACAAAAATATATATACAGACTTGATATTGGATATTTTAAACTAAGACGATTAACTAATTAATTCTCTAATAACACAGGAATCAAATAAGAATATACAAAAAAAGGGTGTGATGTCCAGTAATAATTCAAACTACAGCTAAAAAGATAAAAAGAAACAAAATTAAACAAAAGTTTGGTGTGCAAAATATTTTCTATTAATCTGGTTCCAATCAATTACCTGAAAAATGGAGGGATACAACAATAAATAAAAGTTTGGAGTACACAATGTTTGCTATTAGCTTGGTTACAATCAATTACCTGAATGATGGAGGATTGCTAGGCCATTCATGTATGTAATCTTCGAGAGGATAACAATGAAGTCTCAAGAAATCTCTCCAGCTAGAAACTTGTTCTGTCTTAATATTGAAACTAGTAGACAACCTGGTTGTCTTAGTGGGATCGTCGGAGTAATTTTTTAACCTTTCACTTTCAGGCAATTTGAAGAACTGCGTAGCTATGTTCAGTATGATACTGATCATTTCCTCTGGTATCCCATGATTCTTCACCTGACACGAACGGTTATTTTGTTAGAACAACTTGATGCAGCATGTACGTAATGAAGGATAAAAAATCAACGGTGTTTATGAACTGTAGAAGTCCTAAACTGTAGAAGAAATATGTTTAATATATTATGAAATTTAATAACTCATAATAGCTTCTTAAAATGTAACTTACAAACTGTTTATATAATAGCAAAATTGACTAGTCTATATAGAAATGAATAACAAAAGCAAAATTAGCTAAAATCTAAAAGGAGCACTCAAAACAATAATAATAAAAAAAATCTTAAAACAACATCTTTTAAGTCTAATATAATTTTTTTTTTAAACCACAACCGGTTATAATAAGCCAACTCTTTATAAAATTATACGTATAAAACAACTTCATGACTACAATATATATATATATATATATTGGTCATGATGATTAATTAATTAATAGTAAGAGTGGTCAAATCACACAATAACTACAACATACCTATGACAAAGTCTGAGCAAAGTGAAAGAAAGAGTCATGTGAGAATGGAATAGCAACAAATAATGAACGTAGTTTCAGTACCTGAAAGAACCCATCCCTTTGGCATGCTTGGCCAATTTGTTCGATTATAGTAGAGTGGTTGGGACCATTAAGGCCATGAAGGTCAATTAGAGGAATCGAGCCATCCGAAATCTGAACATCGGAGAGATTCGGACGGTCGGAGATGGGACGTATGTAGTTGGAAGGAATTTGTTTTACACCTGAAGATGCAAGGTCGGCTAGTAGTAGCTTGGCGGTGGGAGCCATGACTAGGTGATCAGAATGCACTCTTGTTAAGTTGTCAAGCTTATGGAAATGGAGGTGTGTATGGCCATATTTATAGGACACCACATGAGGTTACCAATACATTTCAACAAACATGAATTACGACACGTAAGCACAAATAAGATAAAGTTTTATTATTTATCCGATTGTTCTAGTTTCTTTCCCATATTATGTTTATCAACCAACCTCAAGGAAAAACACGTAAAAACTAAATCTACTCTCAACTCAAATCAAGATTTAAAAACATGTTAATATTTGTGAACTTGTTTGTAGTGTATCATATTAAAGAGAGTGAGAAAGGAAATATTTGATTATCCTCATAGCAAAATGTAGAGAAAAAAAAATATTTGTTTAATTTAATGCAACAAATTAAATTTGGGGTGATGCAGATAGAGATATTTTGTTTGTATTCTCAAAGATGGAAGCAGGCTAATGATGTCTTAAAAATCCAACTAATTTGAAAATAAAAATATTAGGTTGGATAATTGATTAATCAATTGATCCTAAGCTTATAGAAGCCGAGTTCTTCCCCGAGGTTATATAAAGAAAGGAAAGTCATTCCATTAAACGTGCCAAGAGAGGATAGTTATTGTCTTGGACTTGGCTAATTGCTAAGTTCAAATATCATAGGTTCGGTATATTTGTGAGACCTACATTGTTTTGAACTTGACTAACTATCAAGTTCAAATATCTTTAGACTTGGTGGAATGTCAAATCTAAATGCCTCGGATCTAGCATGTTTGCTAGACCCACGATACCTTGAATTTAGCTGCCTAGCAAATTCAAGTGAATTGAATCTAACATATTTATCAGACTCATTTCACCTTAGACTTGGCTAATTATCAAGTTCAAGTGATGAGTTTGGTACACTATCAAGCCCAAAAAGCATTTAGATGTGTTTGGCGTTAGATTCAGCATGCCTGGGACTTGGCACACTATTAAGCCCCTACTTGAGGCATACGTATTCCTTTAGACGTGTCAAGGAATGATTGGACTTAAGGGGTTTTTTAAGCTCATTAAAAATATATTTATCAGTAACCCCCCAAGTTTTTATGATATTGATACGTAAAGACTTATAAAAATATTATGATGAGTTTATTGAATTTTCATCATGTGAAAAAAAGAGAGGAAACTTTGGATGATATATTAGACAACCTATATAAAAGGGTATGAAGGAAACTATAATTCAAAAATTTCCTTGAAAAGTAAGAGAAAAACATGGGGAAGGAGCCTGTACTTAGAAATATTTCTAAGTGGCTAAGGGAAATCTATAGGAGGAAATCAACTTGCTTTGAAGAAAGTCTTATCTCTAAGTAAATCAAGTGTTGATCCCATACTTAGAGAATTTCTAAGTGGCTAGTATGAACCTAAAAAGGATGAACCTATGCTTAGAAATTTCTAAATAATTATAGGCTCTTTGAAGAATAGGAGTTAAGAGCTTTCCCAATATTATCATGAGGCTTAAGAGCCCCTTATTGAGAGTGGTGTGCATAGCATTAGGGAGAGTGGTGCATACAACATTGGAGAGAACACATCCATCCCAGACGAGTGGTGTATATAGCATCATTCCTTTTAGAGTGATGTATGTAGCATCTTGAAGTTCATATTCATCCTTTAGAAAGTTGTGCATATAACATTGAGGAGATCGCATTCATTCCTTGAAAAGTGGTGCATATAGCACTGGGAATATCACATTCATCCCTTCAAGAATGGTAGGGCTATCATCCTAAAGGACCACTTGGAGAAAATGAAAAGTTATTTTGAATAAGTCATTCATATTTAAGAAACTTACATTTTTATTAAGGATTATACATCCCAGAGTGATCTAAATGATAGATATGAGAGAAGCTCTTCGGGTACCCTAATTACTTCACTTGAAAAATCATTGATGTTGGTGTTCCTTATAAAAACAAGGAGGTCCACATCAAAGCAAACTGGCCTTTTCAACCCATTTATGATTTTTCATGAATTGTTTTGCTTTGGACAAGCTTTTATCTAGTAAAATATAAAGTTTTCTCTAAAAAGCATGTACTCTTACTCCTCTTATTAAAACTTTCATGGTTACTAACTCAATTAATTCTTCCACCTTGAACATCTCTGCATTGAATCTTCTTAAATATGTTCGTATAGACTCACCTTCTTGTTGGACAACATTGAAAAGCTCTATGAAGGTTTTCTTGTTAGGTATCTTTTTGTTAAAGCGTGTTACTAGCTTCGCATATAGGTCATTGAAACCTTCAATAAAGTTTGGTTCAAGGTTATTATACTAAGCACACGTAAATCCTCTAAAGGTTGAATGAAATATCTTGCACATTGAATCATAATCTTGGATGATCAACTTTGAGCTACTGCATATATTTTGCATATACTCCTTTAGGTCAGCCAAGCCATCATGGTTGTTCAAACTCATATTTATGAAAAAGTAGTCCTTAAATAGAAGAGTTTCCAATATGCGTTTGGACAAAGAAGAAAATCTCCACTGATAAGGACTATAAGCATTCCCTTAGGTATGATCATTCCCTCAGGTATGCTCATGCATAGACTGTCTCCTTGCTCTTTATTTATTGTGCCCTTGAGAGCCCAAAGGTCTTCGTATAAAATGACCATTATGATGACCAATGCCAATCCCATAGTAACTAAAAGAAATGTGTTTAGAGTGTTTGCTCTAAGCATGGGTGTGGTAATGACGCGAGTGATCCCTTGAGAAACTTTCATAAATGTCATTCTATCTAGTCTCCTCTAAGTAATGTAATTGTCTACGAGCTTTTGATATAGCTAGTGGCCCTGGTGTTAAGACATTATGTGTTGTTGAGAGTGTTAAAACTGCTTAAGTTGGTAAGATCTGATTTTGCCTTTGAGTTGTCAATATGGCCTAGGTAAGAAGTCTCACCTGACTAGTGAGTTGTTGAAGCTCATGTTAGGTAGGAGTGTCCATGACAAAAAGTTAATTTGCTTTGCTTGCTATCCCTAAAGGGCATTAGTTGTGAGCCATGAAATGCCTTGAAAATGATAAAAAAAAAAAAGTTTGAGGAAGAAATTGATGGCTTTTTGATAAATTTCACACATACAACATCATTTGTAATATCCCAAAAATCCAACTAGCTTAAGAATATCGTTCTTGGTCAGACAATTGATTAATCAATTGGTCTAAACGATCTCCTTCATTGTCCCTAGCCAAGGTAGTTGATAGTTTATACTTAGTCTTTAGTAGGCCAAAGTTGTTCATGGCTAATACCTATAAAAAGTCCATTTTGATGGAGGTGAAGACTCTTTGATACTTAAATAACTATCTTTTTAGAAAGAGAAAATATAAGAATATTCTAGAGAGAAATGCTCTAAAAATATATGTGCAGTAGAGAATAAACATTATGAACTTTTATTTTAAAGGTCTCATGGTGTATTTATAGATCATGAGTCTTGTCTTTTGTAAATAAAAGGGCTTGCAGTGTAATTACCCTGATAGCATTAATGCAGGATAAATATCCATTATATATGTATTCATGTTTGATGAAAATATAGTGAATCTGTGGAGGACTTTTATATACCTAAAAAAGTATAGAAAAATTAGAGTTTAAAACGTTAAATATAACTAAGTTCATGAAAGTTGAGTTATTCCCCGAGGTTATATCCAATGGAGAAAGGTTATTCCCTTGGACGTGTCAAATGAGGATGATCATTATCTTAAACTTGAATGACTACTCTTTGAACTTGAAACTAAATGTTAGAGATTCATCTCACACCTCCTTAACTGAATCTTTTAGGGGTAGAAACTTGCACAAATCCTTAATATCTTATACTCAATTTTTATCAAATAAAAAAAACTAATGAGATTTAAATTCCTGATTTCTTTAGTGAACAAGACTATGATACCATATGTCAAAAAACATTCTTAACTTAATAACTTAAATTGTTTGGTGAGATTTCAAGATACAATTTTATATTATTCTCTAACAACATGTTAATATTTCTAAGTTTTAATCAATAAAATTTTGATATTTACTGAAAAATTAAACATATATATTGGATTTATCTTGTCACTTATAAAGAGAAAAACAAAACAAAAAAAGTTGATGTCAACTTGAAAAAAAAAATATAACTAAATACTTTGAATCACAATTTCTTAACATAAATTTATTGTAAACTATATTTTTTTAAATGAGTAGAAAGCGCATATGATCATAAACTACAGTTATCATGCATATTGGATATTTTTCAATTAAAAAAACCCAACTCTTATGCTAGATCAACCCATGTCAAAATCCTTCTAGTTATTTAAAAGTTGATGATAATTTATGAATTCACTTATTATGCATTATTTGATTTCTTGTTATTTTCTAATTAAGCTCTTTTTTAATTAAATAACGAAACTAAAAGATACAATAGTATTCATGTAAAAATCAAGAAGAAATATAAATTATATATTCAAATTGTATCAAGAAAATAAAGTATATTATATATTTTCTAAAACAAAATATCACCTTTCGATTTTAGTTTCAAGATAGAAGTTTTCTAAGTTTAATTTCAATCAATAAAACATAATTAGAAAATTGATGACTCTACTTTAATCATATGTTACATGCAATTCTTTAATTTAACGTGCTTGCATAGGAATTTAGCATTATATTTTTTTATAACTAAATTAATTACGCATCACGCATGCTCCACCAGATCCCAAGGATGAAAAGATCGATGAAACCCATATAAAAAACACATTACCAAACGGTCGTCATCTTAAGTCTTAATTAGTGGCAGGCGGCAGCCAGGCAAGAGTTGGATTATTCAATGACCTCTTGGACTCGTCCATCATCACTGCCAATCTTGGCTATATACCATGACATCACCATTGTGACCTCCTTGAGTAACGTCATGCATAGAGGGTACAGTGACCGCGGGAGGGCTTCTATTTATATTTAATTAGATAACAATTATGACAAATATTTATAAAAAAAAATACAATCTTTAATAAATTTTTGTAAAGAGAATTTTAATCTAAAATTGTTTTAAAAAAGAGTTAAGAGATATTTAAAAATTATTT